GGCTGAAAGCAGGTATCTGGGGTTTATTTACCTTCTATAATTGAAACTTTGTAGCCTTGAGAGGAGCTCAGAGCCAGCCAGGGCGGGCGGGAGCGAAGCCTCCTTCTCGCTTCAGCTCCGTGGCCACGGCTGGCTGAAAGCAGGTATCTGGGGTTTATTTACCTTCTATAATTGAAACTTTGTTGCTTTGAGTGGAGCTCAGAGCCAACCGTGGCAGCTGGGAAGCTTGGCTTCCTCCATCATTGGGGCAACCAAGCCTCCTGCTTGCTCCATCTCCGTGGCTGCCAGCCGCCATCTTGGTTGGGTTAATTTGTATATAGTCACTCTGATTGGCTGGTGGGCGTGGCTTAAGGCGTAGCAAAGGTATGGTCAATTTGCATGTTTGTTTTTATTAATGTAGACTAGAGGCCCGTTGCATGAAGAGATTCGTGCAATAGGCCTTCCCTTCCCCTGGCTGCTGGCACCGGTTTTCCTCCGGCACCCGGGACCCAGGCCTTCGCTCCCACTGGAGCCTTCAGTCTTCGCTCCACCACTTCGCCCCTACGTATGCAAATTAACCGCCATCTTTGTTGGGTTAATTTGCATACTCTCATGATTGGCTGGTGGGCGTGGTGGAGGGGTGGTTAATTTACATATTTGTCTATTATTAGGTAAGATGCTCCCCATAGCACGTGACTGACCACAGAGTGTGCACGACACAGTGGTACTGGCTGTTCACAGGTGCACACATGCCCTGTGACCACTGCAGTCCTTCCTCCCTGGAACCCTCTCCTGTCAGGCTATCCCCTCATTCTGCCCTTGTCACTTACATAGCTGCTTCCAGTGGTCAGCTCTCTGTCCTCAGCTAACCTGACCCATGTGCCCATTTGCTGCAGCTGCCCTGCCCTCCTCTTCAGCCATTCATCTCTTTGAGCCAAACAGTGCAGCCCTAGCCAGTTTGGCTCAGTGGATAGTGAAGTGACCCTGGAGTTAAGAGCTGCAGGAGGAGAGGGAGGGGCCTCGGGTTCAATTCCGGTCAAGGGCACATACCTCAATTGCAGGCTCCATCCCCAGCCCTGGCCGGGGCGCATGCGGGAGGCAACCAATTGATGTGTCTCTCTCACATCCATGTTCTCTCTCTGTCTCTCGCCCTCCCTTCCACTCTCCTTAAAAATCAAGGGGAAAATAAGTCCTCAATGAGGCTGAACAACAGTGCGGGCCCAGGGCTCATTCCTCGGCCTGCGCTCCACCTGCACCTGTTCGCTGTGTCATCCTCCGGACTGCAGCTTCCCCACCAGCAAGGTGCCACTGACTCTCTAATTGATGTCATCAGCCTTGATTTCTGTACTCCACCCCCCTCCTCACCCCCCGGCAGTGCCTAACAGACATCTGAAACCAATCATCCAAAGCTGACATGGGTCTCTCCTCATATTAGCTATGGCCTCTCCGTCTTCGCCTTTGTTGATTACGGAAACCTCGGAGGTACCTGAGTCCCCAGTAAATCCTGTGGGCTCTGCCTGCTTATATGCTAGCACTTCTCTCCACCTCCGCTGCCCCAGCCCAGTCCAGGCCCATGGCAGCCCAGAAGGATCCTGTGAAGATTGAGGTCCAATCGCATCCCTTCTCTCCACCACGTCATGGCTCCAGCCTCACTCGCAGTCAGGCCAAGTCCTTGCTGGGGCCCACAAAGCCCTATACATCTGCCCCAGCTTCTACTTCACCTTCCACCTTCCCCCTGATGCACTCCAGTCCCCTGGCCTCGCCGTTCCTCCATCACCTCAGGACCATCCACTTCCCCCCCCCCCCGCCCCTCCCTCCCCTCCTGCAGCTCTTAACTCCAGGGTCACTTCACTATCCACTGAGCCAAACTGGCTAGGGCTGCACTGTTTGGCTCAAAGAGATGAATGGCTGAAGAGGAGGGCAGGCCTCGCCGTTCCATCACCTCAGGACCATCCACTTCCCCCACCCCCCGCCCCTCCCTCCCCTCCTGCAGCTCTTAACTCCAGGGTCACCTCCCAGCGAGTGGTCCCCATCCTGTTCGCTGTTGCACACACCTGCTTCACGCCCCTCCCCTGCTTTATTTCAATCCCAGCACTTATCACCACTTGACCAATCACATCTCTTGCTCATTTTCCTTGTTTGTGATAACCCCCATCCACATGGACCCCACAAGGGTTGGGTTTTTATGTCTTGTTCTTAGCTGTAAGCCCAGTAAGATAGAGCCTGGTGTGTAGCAGGCTTTCAACAAATACTTCTGAATGAGTCAATGAATGAGTGACCAGGCAAATGTGTGCTGGCTCAGGGCCTGAGGGTCAGGGCAGGGCTAACTGAGGAGCCCAGCTCCCCTCCCCCATGATGGCCAAGGACCCAAGAGCCTAGCAAGGAAGGTGGCTTTGGAACCACCCAAGGCCTGGGTCCAAGCCCAGTTCTACCCTCCCCAGCAGGCTGACCTTGAACAAGTCACATGACCTGTCAGAGACCGTTTCCTTATCCGGAGAATGGAGATGATAGTTTCCCACCCAGGGGCCTATTGCGAGAAATGCATGATAGTAGTGGCCTAGGCTCAATTTGAAAGCCGGCTCCAGGAGGGGCAGGGTGGCCGTTGGCATCTCCGGGCTCAGACAGAATGACCCCCCCTACCCTCTGTTTTCCCTCAAGTGGGCAGCATCCACAGCCCAGAACTAGGCAGAATGGGCAGCAGAGAAGGAGGTGATGGGGGAGTGGATGCCCCTCAAAATCTCACACTGCAGGAGGCCCAGCTTTTTGCATGAGCCCCACCCTGGAAGCCACCTGATTGCTCTAGTTTCTATCAACTTCCCTTCCGCTCCCTGGGGGTTGCCTGCAGCAGGGGCCAGCAGCCCCTGGCATGACCCTACCCAGCAGCTCCATCAGGTCTTGCTTCCTCCTCGTGAAGGCCACAGGGCACAGCTTATTACTCCCATCCTATGGATGAAGAAAGTGAGGCCCAGCGAGGTGAAGGGCTTTCCAGAGCCACACGGACAGTCAACGACGAGCTGGGGCCAGAGCCAGGCCTGACCCACCCTGTTTCTGCTCCCTCAGCCCCTGGCATGTGCCTCAAAGGCTCTGCTGGAGTCCCACGGAGATGCCCACCTTGTCCTGCCTTCCGAGCCCACAGCCTTGCTCTCCCCAGTGCATTATTCATGCTCCCAGAGCCAGCCAGCTCCAGTTACACGGACCAAAGCCCTGGGCACCTGCGCCGCCTCCCCTCCTCCCCTTCCCAGGACATGGAGGGTCCAAGGCTCCTCTCCAAGGCAACTGGGTGGGTCTGAGCACCCCACTCTGGCTCAGGAGATGCAGCTCCGCCCCCACCGACTCCACATGTGCTGGTAGTTAGGGCGCGCTGCCCCTCTCTGGGGCTGGGTCACCCAAGCGCTCCCTTCAGGGGGCTGAGCCAGCGGAGGCCCCGGAGTGGGTGGCCGTGTCAGCAGGGGGTCTTCATCGCGCCTTCAGGCCAAGATGGCCTCCCCCAGCGCAGGCCTCCCGGCTCCGGGTAAACAACACCCACGCACTTTCCACCGCCGCTCGAGGGTGAAACCCAAGGCGGAGGCTCAAGGAGATGAATTATGGATCCGCCTCCTGGGAACTGTCCCTCCCAGGCCACCAGGCCAGTCCGAGGTGCAGCGCCCAGGCCGCTCTGCAGCCGCGGCGGGAGGCCCAGCAGGACCCCGTCTCCAAGCCCCTGAACTTGGACACCGGCCCCGGCTGGTGGGGAGCAGGCCGCCACCATGGCCGACGAGGAGAAGAAAGCCAAGAAGAAGAAGAAGAAGGGGCAGGAGCCGGAGAAGCCCAAACGGAGCCTGAAGGGGACCTCCCGGCTGTTCATGGGCTTCCGTGACCGCACGCCCAAGATCTCCAAGAAGGGCCAGTTCCGCAGCGCGTCCGCCTTCTTCTGGGGCCTGCACACCGGCCCGCAGAAGACCAAGCGCAAGAGGAAGGCGCGCACGGTGCTGCAGTCCACGTCCAAGCTCATGACGCAGATGCGCATGGGCAAGAAGAAGCGCGCCATGCGGGGCAAGAAGCCGTCCTTCATGGTCATCCGCTTCCCCGGCCGCCGGGGCTACGGCCGCCTCCGGCCCCGGGCGCAGTCGCTCAGCAAGGCCTCCACGGCCATCAACTGGCTCACCAAGCGGTTCCTCATCAAGAAGGCCGAGGAGTCGGGCAGCGAGCAGGCCGCGGTGGACGCCTGGCTGAGCCGCTCGGGCTCCCACGTGGGCTCCCGCAAGCTGCCCTTCCCCTCGGGCGCCGAGATCCTGCGGCCGGGGGGCCGCCTGCGGAGGTTCCCGCGCAGCCGCAGCATCTACGCGTCGGGGGACCCCGTGGGCTTCCTGCCCTTCGAGGACGAGGCCCCGTTCCGGCACGCGGGCTCCCGCAGGTCGCTGTACGGGCTGGAGGGCTTCCAGGACCTGGGCGAGTACTACGACTACCACCGCGAGGGCGACGCCTACTACGACCAGCGGTCGCTCTCCCAGTACGAGGAGCAGGACCCGGGCCTGGCCCCCTACGGCCCCCCCTACGGCCCCTACAGCGCCTACGCCCCCTACGACGCCTACGTCCCCTACGACCCCTACGGCGCCTACAGCCCCTACAGCGCCTACGGCCCCTACAGCCCCGCTTGGCCGCCGTATGGAGACCACGCTCCCGGGTACCCGCCCGAGGACCCCTACGACCACTACCCCATGGACTACTACGGGGGCCCCTACTACCCCACGTCTGCCTACGGCTACAGTTACGGCTACGAGGATCACGAGCCCCCCTACGCGCCCCCAGGGGGGTACGCGTCTCCCTACAGCTACTACGACAGCGAGCCGTACCCGCAGGCCTACTACCTGGACCCCTTTGCACCTTACGATGCGCCATACCTGCCCTATGACCTCCCGTACGATGTCCCCGCCTGGGAGCCCTACGGGGTGCCCTATGAGGCCCCCTATGGCCTCCCCTACGCCGAGGGCATCTATGGTGGCGGGGACCAGGCCATATACCCTCCTGAAGTGCCCTATCTGTACCCGGAGGAGCCGGCCTTTGCATACCCGTGGGTGCCACCACCCATCATGTCACCCCACAACCCCTACGCCCACCCCATGGATGACATCGCGGAGCTGGAGGAGCCGGAGGAGGCGGCCGGGGAGCGGCAGGGCACCTCCTTCCGCCTGCCCAGCGCCAGCTTCTTCGAACAGCAAGGCATGGACAAGCCCGCCAGGTCCAAGCTCTCCCTCATCCGCAGGTTCCGCCTCTTCCCGCGGCCCCAGGTGAAGCTGTTCGGGAAGGAGAAGCTGGAGGTGCCCCTGCCCCCCTCCTTGGACATCCCCCTACCCTTGGGGGAGGAGGAGGAGGAGGAGGACGAGGAAGAGGTGCCCCCGGTGCGCACCGGGCCCTACGCCCACCCCTTCTGGGGCTTCCTCACGCCGCGCCAACGCAACCTGCAGCGGGCCCTGTCGGCCGGCCCCAGGTGAAGCTGTTCGGGAAGGAGAAGCTGGAGGTGCCCCTGCCCCCCTCCTTGGACATCCCCCTACCCTTGGGGGAGGAGGAGGAGGAGGAGGACGAGGAAGAGGTGCCCCCGGTGCGCACCGGGCCCTACGCCCACCCCTTCTGGGGCTTCCTCACGCCGCGCCAACGCAACCTGCAGCGGGCCCTGTCGGCCGCCT